AGCCAGCTATGCTGGCTGGGGGATTCTGGGAGTTGAAGTCCACAGGACTTAAAGTCACCAAGGTTGAGAAACACTGAGCTAAAGCAACTTATCCGCTGTATAAATATAGAGTTATCTAGAAGGGTGTGTGTGTGTGTGTGTGTGTGTGTGTGTGTGTGTGAACACAAGCAGCAGGCAGGTGTCCTTGGAAGATGGGGTGGGCTGGATAAGGAAGCTGAGAGCCAGCAGACCCCAAAGCTGCATTTCCTCTGCCAGAGAGTTGTGGCTGCCTGGCCTTCGAAGGTTGGATGGCAGAGCTGGAGAGATGGGGCGGGGGTGTGTGGATGTCCCAGGCGCCTCTAGCTGGAGGAGATGTACAGGGACTGGGTTTTGCGGCTCCTGCCCGGCTTGGTGTTGAGAATGTCCATGCTTTTGCGGCTGGAGCTGACGACGTCCGTGACGAAGCCAGAGCAGTCGCGGCAAACGTCCTTGAGCACCGCCCCGTGGGCATAGATGCAGGGGAACTCTTCCTCCACACTGCGCCAGCGGGTGCCCTGCAAGGAGCTGGAAGGCAAAAACAGGGGGCTCTTGACCGGGGCACCTATGCCTGATGCTTCCCCCCCCCCACAAGAGCTGGGCTAGAGCAACCTCAACCGACAGGCTTTGCTTGGCTCCAAGGTCTGTGTCTCCACTATTGGAAGCCCCTGGGCAGCCTGCTCTTAAACGCCCTGAGATACGTGGCTTCATGGGACGGCCTTGAAACAGGCTTCAGAAGGTCCCCCCTGACTGTGGGGTCTGAATCTTGAGGGAGATCAGCGTTATGCATCTTCCAATTGTTAAGCTATAATCCCTGGCCCTCTGCAAGCCTTCAGCGACGGGAAGGGGGTGCAAGAGCTGCACCCAGGAGCCAGGATCTTTCAGGGGATTCGGATCCGTTTCTCAAGCCAAATAATCTCCTGTGCGTGAATGGAAAGGAGATGGGGACAGATCTGCACCTGAGGCCACATCAGAACTATGGTTGGTGTCTTAGTTTGCAAACCTATCTGGCCATGGTTCAAACCTCCGACTGCAGAGAGTTGAGGCCCTCTGCCTGCAAGCCCCTTCCGGAATCCTCTGCTGGGACCGCAGCCCCCCGAATTCCCCTTCAGCTGACTCGATGGGCGCGGAGTTCTGCTAGTTGACCTCTCAACCCGTCTGGGATTTGAGTCCGAGGCAGCTGCCCAAGATGACCAGAGCGGAAAAGGTCTCGACCTCGGGGCTCCCTGGCTGCTGATCTGCCCATTCCGAACAGCCGAGCAGGAAACGGAAGAAGGGGGAGAAGGAAAAGGAGCGCCACCTACTGGAAAGTCTCCTGCCGACGGGCGGGGGGCCCCTTGGCTCCCAGAGAGCCCTGCAGCGTCTCGAAGCCCAGGGCGTAGACCGGGATGTGGGCGAGCTTCTTGGAGGGCATCTTGATCTAGAAGGGCCAAGCAGGAGGGGCTGAGCAGAGGGCTGGGCTGCTCCCCAGAAGACCTCCCCCGGGGTGGGGATGGGGGGGGGGACGTGGCCTGGGATTTCGGGAGAGCAACTTTACCTTCAGGCTGCAGGAAGCGCAGACAGACCTAAAGGCGACAGAGGAAAGAGGAGGCTCAGCCGGGAGCCCCGCCCACCCCAGCGCCTCCCCCGCCGGGCGCCTGCTGACTCACCTCTTGCAGAAGAGGCAGGTGGGGGGCCAGGAGAAGAGCGTAAACTTGGTCCGGCAGCAGCAGCAGCTCTGAGCCAGAGGAGAGACGGTTGGTCAGCAACGGCTTGTCTGGGGGAGCCCCCTGCCCCCCCCCCCCCCGCAGCCCCAGGAGCCCCCCCTGGCCTCACCTTCCCTCTCTTCAGGCTGGTGTAGAGCTCCTTGCTGTGAAGAAACTTCTCCATCTCCGCCTTCACCAGCACCCGGCGCACGTTGATCATTTCCTCCACCGTCAGCGCCAGGCTTTCCACGGGGTGGCTGAACTCCTGCTGTAGGTGGGGGGGGGGGGGCAGGGGATGGGACCAGAGCTGCCCTGAGCCAGGCCAACTGCCCAGGCAGAGAGGTCAGGTCTCCCGCAGTCAGGACTCCAGTGGAAACACCGGCCTTTACACTGGATCCCCTTCCTCCGCCGGTCAGATTTCCACAGCCATTGAAAGCTCACGGGAGGGGGGAGGGAGGGAGGGAGGGGCTGGCTTCCGTGTGGGGGAAAACCAAAGCACAAGGATGCTTAGCAAATAGCAAAACCTCCAGGGGCCCAAAGGGAGCCCCTTCCACGCGCTCAGGTTCCAACTCCAGAAGGAGAAGGAGGGAGTGGAGCTGTTGCGCTCGCAATCCTCCCATTAAAGTTCTTCGGTGTTGCCATGTCCTGACTCTCGCTCTCTGGGCCGTGTTCCTGGGACAAGGACCAGGCTTCAGGCGGCCCAACCGGCCTCGGGTACCAGAGGTCCTGCCACAAAGCGGGTGTGAAAACGCACACCGCCCAGGTTGCTTACCAGCCACAAATATTTCAAACTGGTGTCTGTGACTGGAACAGGGTTGCCTTCCAAATTCTCCTGCACGGAACCCAGGGCCTCTTGTTTACGAGGACACGAACTGACCCGAGGGTGGTAGCGAGCCGGAACCGAACCTGAAGGAGAACGGAAGGGAGCCAGCCAGTCAGAATCTACCCAGCAGGGAGAAGAGGCCCTCCGGCTTCCCATGAAGACCCCGGGGGGGGGGGGGAGTAGCTGAAGCAAGAGGCAAAGCAGAAAATCACCAGCAGCCACGCCCAGCCAGCATTCACAAATGGAAAACTCCACCAGCAGCCGTTGCCCCCCTGCTGCTCTGGGCAGGAGAGGAGCCCCTTCCCCCCCTCTCCCCCTCCCCTATCTCCCCAGGCTCTTTCTCTCTCTCTGCAGTTGGGCTGCAGCCTCTCCGCTGGGAAAGGACGGGGCGCACAGAGAATGGTGTCCCAAAGTGGGGCTACCTCACAAACAGAGGCTCACTTGCCCATGTTTCCCATGCTGGCCCATCCGGAGGACACGGTACCTGAGCGAGGCCTCGGATCTGACAGGCTGGTCCTTAAGTACTCCAGGTGAGGCTCGCTGTCCTCACTTTCATCCCGAAAATGGGCCAAGTCTTGCTCGGAGAAGGAACGATCCCGCTTCAGCGGCATCAGGGGCCCCGGCTCCTGAGCCGCCTCTGAGCAGGGAGAGTCGTCTTCCTGCAGAAAAGGGACCACTCAGCCCACCTGCAGAAACGCCGGCACCCAGACCCCCTCCCCCGAGGCCAGCCCCCGAGATCAGAGCAGGCCGGCATTTCTGCCCTCAAGGAGAAGGAGCGCTGGCGCTGGGGCACGCAGGCACGAGGAAGAGGCCTTTGGGAGCATGGTGCCAAGGGCCCTAGAGGGTGGCAGAGGTTTCCAGAGCAGAAGGCAAGGGACAAAGGGAGGAGGAGGAGGAGGAGAGGAAGCCAAGAGGGCTGGACTGCAAAGTCCGCTCCAGCAGGCCGAGCTGCTCTTCTGGCCCAGAAAGCAGGAGACGAGGTCCGGCTCTTACTTCTGAGACAAACATCTCCTCCATCTCTGCCAGCGTGGGTGCCTTCAGCAGGACCCTCGGCCTCTGGCGCTGAGGTGGGGCACCGGACTCTGAAACGGAGAGGTTGATGCAAGAGGTCGATTTCATGTTGCTGGAGCAGGCACTCAGCAGGCAGGGCAAGGAACCAAACCCTGGCAGGACAAGAGGAGAGGGCAAGGTGTGGCACAGGCCTCCTTTGGTGCTGGGCACGTAGGAAACGCCAACCCGGCCTTCCTTCTAACGAGTGGCATGCAGAATAGCCCGGCTTTCCTCAGCGTGGCACGGGACCATGTTGCCCATCCAAATGCCAACGTGGGCCAGAGTGGCAGGGCTGAAGGAGGGCACTCTCTTCCCCGGAAGAGACTCCCACACTCCCTCCTCTCTCCGCCTCCCCCTTTTGGGATGATCTGGAGCTGCTTCTCAGTCTGGAGCGCCTGGAGACGCCTGCGGGACTAGACTGAGACGGGGCCGTTTCCCCCAAGACCCCCCAGGTTCTCTCCTGCCTTTGCCGTCTCATCCCCGGAGGGAGCAAACGCATCTCCTCCAGCTCCCAGGACCCCCCACCCCCACCCCTTCTCCCCCTTAAGGACAGGCCCACCTCTCTGGTCCCGGGGCTGCAGGGCCACTGGCCGGAGCTTCCGTTCCTGCTTGATCTCCTCCAAGATCTTCTCGTGGAGGGTCCTCTGCTGCTGGGGCAGGGGGCGCAGCCTGCGCTCCGAGGCCTGCAAGAGGGTGGGGAAGCCAGAGAGCCCCGTTCCACTCTGGAGCTGGAAGGAGCCCTGAAGGCCACCAACTCCGGCCCCCAATCGGAGGCTTTCCAGAGGCGACCGAAGGACGGTGCAAACCAGGCCAGCAGGGAGACTGGACCGCATCATTCATAGCGTTCGGGGCACCCAGAGCGAAGCACCCTGGCCAGCTGCCGCCATGGAGATGGCCAACAGCTCAGCTCTGCCTGGCCGGAACCCGCCTTGTCCAATCCAGAGAGCAGCCCCAGCGGCAGCTTTTCCCCCCAAAGGAACTTCCTGTTGGGCAACTGACAGTCCCGAAGGAAGGATGGAGTTTTGGGAGCGGTCAAAGCAGTTCGGGTGGCTGTTAGTGCAACCCCCAAAGTCCCTCCCCCCGAAGGCCCCTCCCCTCCCCAGGGAAGTACGCAGAAGCAGCGGCTGGGCCGACCTGTCTCAGAGGCGGACGGGATCGTATGAAATCCAGGATGAGCTCGTGGGCGTCCTTCTTCACCCTGGGCAGGATGTCTCTGTCCACCTGACGGGGATCCACACAGAAGAATCAGCCACAGCTGCTCCTGTTCTCCAGGAGCCGCTGGGGACCCGGGACGGGGGCTGCGTTTTGCTTCTCTCCAAAGGCCCCCCCGCCTGGTCTGCCTTTGGGGCGGCTTCTGTAGGGCTCAGGGGGAAGAGCTGCCGACACCCCGTTTTAAGTGGCCCCTCCCGCTCTGCTCTAGGGCTCAGACCCACATGGACAGGTGGCCCCTGGGAGGGAGGGGACGGTCCCCGCTCCTCTCACCATGACCTTGCGGAGCTTGTAGTTCCGGGCTCGGATGTCCTGCATGAGCATCTCAAAAGGCGTCAGCTGATACTCTGTGGGGAGGGGGTCAAACTCCTTCTGCTGGACCTTCTTCAGCTTCACGCCATTCCGCAGTTCCCGCATGAGCTGCACCCAGAGTCGAGCCTGCAAGTCACAAGCCAACAATGGCACCAGAGTCGGCTTCCCCCAAGCGGTGCTTGAGGCCGGGGAGACCCCGGGGACCCCCCTTCTCTGTGGCTCTGGCTCCGAGCTTCCTCCCCGTGGGACAAAGCGGACCGTCCCTCCCACGTGCTGGGAAGGTCTGGCTCTGGGCAGCCCCGGGGACTGTTCTCAAGGCCAAAGCCACAGCCATGACTGCACAGCCCTATTCAAGCCTCATTCTTGCAAATGGGTCTGTGGGGAGAGCCGGTGGCTGCAGATGTGTGTTTAAGGAAATAAATGTCGTTACTGAGCGTAAAGTTCACATCAGGTGTGCCTAGAGCAGCAAGGGGAGAGCTCTGCCCTCTCTCCTCCTTGCTTCTTGAGGTACTTCTCTACGTAGAGTATTTACACCCAGCCCCACCCAGAGAGATGCCCGGGAACGTTCTAAAAGCCCACCATCCACTCTCTTCTCCGTTTCCCAGCCCGCTCCGTACCCAGTCCGTGTTCTTCAGGCTGTCCAGCTCTGCTGCCGATCGGTCCTTCAACTCCTCATCCTTCAGTTTCACCAGCATCTGCAGACCAAGAGACGGGAGCAGGTGAGCCCCTCCCACTTCCATTGCATTCATGGCGGCATAGAAGTCACGGTGGGACTGGGATGGAGTGGGAAGGGCCGGGAGGGGCACGCAAGGCTTCCTCCGGGGTACTGAGGAGGAGAGAGGGGACGAAGTCCCTTATTCAGCTGGACCTTTTCTGCCAACAAGGAACTGGGACAAGAACCAGCTTTAGAAGGGGGGGGAGACGGGGCACAACTTCTCCAAATGGGAGCCTGACTGGCAGCTGTAATACTCCACCAAAGGGACGAGAAGCAAAGGGCAGGAGAAGCGGAGAGCAGCCACAGCTCTCAAGAGACCTCAGGATGCCCAGGTGGGAGAAGAAGGTGGCAAGTTGACTTCCGTCTTTCCCCCGTGGATCGCTCCAGTCGTAGAGTTTGGAATTGCTTAAGGCAGCTGCATCCGGGAATCCCGGCCTGCTGGCCTCCCAGTTCCAGCACCGGCCTGGGAGAAGCCGGGCGACGTACGTGGGGATGTATTCCGTTTCTCACCAGGACGCCTTTGGCCGATGCTCTCCTGGAGCTCTTCCCTTCCAGGCCAAGAGAGAGGAAGCCGAGGGGCCCCGTGCTTCCCCCCCCCCACCTCTCATGGGTATCACCCTGTCTGTCCCTCGGCCTGCCGCACTTCCGCCACGAGGTTTTAGAATAGAATCGGTTCCCCCCGTGACTGCGGAAATGACTTCTCCACAAACGCTTTCCCACAGGACAACAGCGCCTTTCCCTGGAGAGGAGTGCTGGGCTGGAGAGTCCCTAATTATGGGCTCTCATTAGCCACTCAGGGTTCCTCCCAAGAGGAGCAAAGCAGAAGCCCACCAAGAGGAGGGCGGCCTCCTCAGGCAGCCGCCCAGCCTCCCTCCATCCCAGGAGGGCTCCCTCTCTCTGCACGGGAGGAGGAAGGCCGGAGCCTCGGCCAAGTCTCATCTGAGCCACGCAGGCGTCCTGGCAAAGAAGTGGGGGGGGGGTGCCTCCCCTTCCCCCCTCCCGGCTCTTAGTTGCACCAGCTGTGCAGGGGGGGACCCTGACGAGGGAGGCAGCAGAGACCCCTCCCCTGTTTCCTTACACGTTTCTTACACAGGAGCAAGAGGGCTGGGGGCTCGCCTGGGTGGGGCCTGTGGCTGCTCAGCTGCCACAGGAAGGTGGAGTTCCTGCAGCACCCGCAGAGCCTGGATGGCACATGGCCACGGCTGGGCTGGGCAGCCGCAACAGGGCAAGGGCTGCCCATCTCCCTGGCGCTGGCAGCAGACGTCCCAGGCAAAAGAACCCCACGGGCTGACTCTGCCCACCGGGATCTAATTCTTGGAGAATTCTCAAGAGGCAGCCTCTGCCCTCTGCCCTTTGGTACCCAGTTCAAGCCAGCATCCCTCCCACTAGTCCTTGGCCAGCTCTCCTCCCTGCGGTCATCAGTGGTCACAGATTCTGCTGGAAAGCCCCAGGATAGCCGCATGTCCAGGTGGAGACCTCATGCCCACTTGCCCCCCCCACCAGGGCAGCACTTCAGGAATTGCTTCTTTAGGTGGCGAACCACCCAGGCCGGCCCCACTCACTTCCTTGGCATCCCGGATCTTGGCCAGAAAAGCTTTCAGCTCCACCGTCTCGAGGAACAGCGCCCGGCACACCGCCTGGTAGTGAGCGTGGGCCTCCTGCGGCTGGGAGAGGCGGGCAGCGCAGAGTTGCATCACTTGGCCGAATGTGCGGACCACGCTCAGGGTGCCCTTGGCCACCGCCTCCTCCTCTTCCTCCTGCCCGCTGTAGCCTTCGTCTGCCGTGCTGCTGCCGTTGCCGCCGTCACCGGAGTCCCCGTTGGTCATCAGGTCGATCAGCCGCTCCAGTTCGGGGCTCAGCTCCCGTTCCTCGTTCTCCTCCAGGCCCCAGTCGAGGGCCCGGTAGATGACAAAGCCCAGGGACTGCACCATCTGCAGAGCGAGGGGGGGGGAGAGACGTCTGTGTTATTCGAGGGCTGATGGAATGGCTCTCATGCACACCCTTTCCCAGAGATCAGCCTCAGGGAGAACCTGCCAGTGTGGGGTCTTCGGAGGGTGAGTGGGCTTGGCGGCAATGCCAAGTGGCTGTGCCAAGGCCAGGGTGTGCCAGGGTGCTCAGACCCTGGCAGGTTTGGGGAGATGTGGGAAAATGGGCCATCTGATCTGCTCAAGCTTGCCAATGCTTTGCTAATGAAAGTGGCACGAGGGAGGCTCAGTGATTAGCTTTTTAAGAGACTGTTGATGGTTGCCAGACTTAAGAGTTGCCAAGGCCAGCAGGAAGAGAAGGTGGACTTTCCACAGGGCCCTCGGCCACCTACCTGTGCTTCTGTCGCAGGTGCCAAGGTCAGTGGGAGCTCTGCAGAGGGAAGAGGACACCGTTAGAAGACGCCAGTCTCAGAGAGACCGAGAGCGCCGGGCTTCCTCACCTCGAGGCAGTTTTGAGTACCCTCCTGCGCATCTGAGCCCACCCCAGACCCGAGAGCCACACCAGAACCAAGCAGGCCCCACCCCGGCGTCTCTTCTTTTGGTAAAAGGGCAGAGATGCCAAGTGGGTAGAGTCTACTTTGTCTGGTTCAATGGGGAGTCTTTCTCCCCATGTTGGGTTTGGTGCACAGAGGCCAGCTGTTCACAAA